ATGAATATGTAAAAGCGGGTGCAACACATGTCAAGTTCAATAAAAAGAACGAGTATCTATTAGCTTCTGCTCATGATCGAGATCTATTAATATGGGATACTAGAGTAAATTAACATAATTTATGAAGTTATTTTTTAAATATATTTAATATACATACGTAAACTTTAATTCGATTTTTTCAAAAGAAAGGATCGCTTTCTATAACTAGTATCAGGGCACATACAACTAAAATCTATGGAATTGATTGGAGTAGAAAGAGCGCCGACAATATAATTACTTGTAGTCTGGATAAATCAGTGAAGGTTTGTTCAGATATTTGTAATTTTAATAAATTTATATTAGCGCAATGTATATTAATTATACGTATGAATGTAGTTCTGGAATATAAAGAATGACGTCTGTCAAGGCGTTATATATACAAATTCACCAGTATGGCGTGCAAGGCATACAGTGAGTATGCAAATGATTCTTATTCTTTAATTATGAATCTTCTGTCAAACTAATTACATTTTTATTCTAGCCAGTCGGTAATGGTATTCTAACGATGTCTCAACGATCAGAAACCAGTTTATATCTTTGGAATCAGGAAAATCCTCAATCCCATGTACATGCCTTTGAAGGCCACAGCGATGTAGTCAAAGAATTTGTCTGGAGAATTAAAAGCGATGGTGACCCAATTATTGGTAATTACACTTTTATTATTATTATTTTTTTTTTTTTTGAAAATAATCATAAATTTATTAATATGATGATGAACTAAGTTGATCATTTGCTCTAGATGATAGAGAGCTTCAATTAATTACGTGGTCAAAAGATAAGCACTTGCGTCTGTGGCCGATAAATGATAAACTATTAAAGGTAGCTGACGAAAGGATTTTTTTTTTTAGATTAATTATATAACATATATTAGCATTAATTTAAATTACATGAAAGGCAATCGGACATGAAAGAGGAAGACCTAGAAGTCCAACAGATCAGCTTACATCAACGGGACATTCAACTTTCACCTTTCGGGACCCACCGCCAACTAATAATCATTCAGCCTCACCTACTCTGTCAACTTCAGCATCTCATTCCTCTCTTCGCGTTATTCCAGGAAATCGCATGAACACAATTACCACTTTGCGTCCTTCTGGGGCTTCTACTGGAGGAGGAAATATTAAAAGTTATATGGGAGCCGCTGCTGGGATGTATAGAGCTGAGCGACATTCCTTATCACCGTTGTTGTGGATGCAGAATGTGAGAATGGTTAAGCCTAGTGGAGAGATCGGTAGTGCTGAAGATATTCCAACAAACATGCATGAGGAATGGGCTACTGTTTCGAAAAAATTTTCAAATGTCGAATTTGAAAAGGTAGTTTGTTATTTGGTCTAATCTTCTCATATTTATTATAAAATAATTTAAAAGTTTATTTTACTCTTTGTATGACAGCTTAATGTGCAAGGAAGGAGCTGTACTATAAGTTTACATGGACCTTGGTCTGATAGTGGGGTTGCATTTATACGCATCAATATAACGTTCCCTTCGCAATATCCTGACAAGGTTGCTCCAATTTTTGATATTCAAAAAACTGGGATGATCTCTATAATGAATCGAACTCATATGTCACAAATTTTAAACCGCATAGCCAGTTCGCATGTATCCCAGAAAAGACCATGTCTCGAAGCTTGTATTCGTTATTTACTTGGAGAACATCCTGATGATGGTCAAGAGCGATATGGGAGAGATGATTCGGATGATGAAAATTATATAAATTCTACTAGAAGAGCATCTTATGATAAAAACTTGACTTACATTCTTGGAGATAAGGATTATGATAATAATATTCCTTTTCCAAAACTATGTGGCGCAAAATTTTGTGTTACTGGTAATGTACAACTTAATTAAAGCTTTGTTATCGCATTTGTTCACTCGAGCAATTTCTTATTTATCTTTGGAATTCTAGGAAAGCTTGTATGTTTCTTTTCAAGTCTACGATCTCCTGACGCTAGTAATCCTGTTACGCCTGTAAGATCAAATGGTAATTCTGGAACCAATCGTGGGAAGACAAGTTATATATACACACATCCTAGGTCATATGATTCTTGGGAACAGTACAAAATGATTTCGCGGTTACCAAGACCTGTTACGCGTTATGGAGCAGATGGAGATGATTCGTCTTACGAAGTAGATGATGACCAAGATGATTTATTACTGTATTTCAATCCAAAGGTGCTTTATTATTTTATTATTTAAGGAAGAAGAAACATATAATACTTGGTTTAACTGTTCATACAAATTTATTTAGAGCGGATTACGAAACAATGCTCCAGATTCATCCACGTTAGCGGGGCATGTTATTCATACTTACGATTTTTCAGAATGGATGCCAGTTAATCGAAAACTGGCAAATGAATATATGTTTGTACAAAATATAATTTAGCATAATAATGTTGATAATTTGTATTATCATAATGATACCTTATTATTAATTTTTAATATTGTTTTAGTCTTCATGGGGATGATCCGGTTGAGATTTGCAAATACAACGCTCGAGTAGCAGCAGACAATGATCGACCAGATTTGGAACAAGTCTGGTTACTTGCTTCTTTAATATTAAGTCAAACTGTTTCCATTAAAAGATTTAAGAATTCCTTATCTAGTGATGATATTATACCAATTGAACGAAATTCAGGACCTTATCAGAAATGTGCAAATAAAAGAAAGGAGAGTAGGAATGGATATGATTCATTTATGGACGAAGCGTTTCACGAATTTTTCGGAAGATTGGATTGGGGATTCCATCCATTTGGAAAGGGTCTTGCAATAGACATGTAAGTTAATTTTTTAAATTATTGATATACCGTATATTATTTTAATTAAATTATATTTCATTATGCTTTAGGCTTAATCACTTTGTTTCAATAGGCGATATACAAACAGCAGCAATGTTGTCATGTGTTTTTAGACAACCCTTTCCACCACATCGCAAACTTGTCAAAACAAAGGAAATTCAACCTTTAGTAGGTGTTATGTTTTTAAATTGAATTTAACTAGAAAGAATATTAAACCCATAGCCTTATTTCATATTAGATCTCACCAGATTTAGAAACTTATAATATATCCAGTAGCACGGATTATTTCAATTATTATGCACGTTATCCAGAAAAACGAAATCCATATCAACTTGGGTTTTCATCAATATCTGGAGCGACATTTGTCGAATCATTTAATTCATCAAAAAGTTCATGGGGAAATCATTATAATCAATCGGAAATGTTTGGTCATTTTGTTAATGCGGGTACTCCTCCGACCCCATCCGGCTATATATATGGACATTCCGAAGGAGCTGGTGGACCTATTATGGTACCTTCAGCTGGTCATACATCACACCATCAAAGGAGGTCAACTTTTGGCGGTATTTCGAAAGAAGCAAACTTTTTTTCTTCAAGTTTTAGTACTACAGCATCACCACCAAAAACTCCAAAAAGAGATAGTCCAGTCGCAGTTGGATTCACAAGTCATTTTGGATGGGGAACTATGGGAGTAAATCAAGGAAATGAAAGGCTTGTTGAAACTTCTTCGAAAAAATCCAGCGATTTAACATTTATACCTTGTAATTTCGAAGAATTTGACGATGAAAGAAGGTCATAAAATTTATTTTAGAATATTGTACCTTTTGAATTGAATATTAATAGAACTTTTAATTTAATCTTAGGCCATTTCAAGTTAGTTTATTAGATGATAAAAGAGCGACAAATGCAAGATATGATCAAATCCGTCTTGCTTATGCAGAGATATTATATCATTGGGGATTATTTGAAGCAAGGACAGAGATTTTAAAATTTATGAAATTTGTAAAGACAACAATTGGTAGCCCTCTTGGAGAACAACAAGAACCTTTGGGTATATATAATTTAATGTATTGGATCGATTAATTTTTTTTTTTTCATTTTTTTCATACTTTTATGTGTTTAGAAATCGGTATACATTGTTTCCAGTGTGGTATTGAATTAAAGGGTAACTATAAGTGTGGAAATTGTCTACGTAAGAGAGCTGGTATAAAATGTTCAGTCTGTCATCAAACTATTAGAGGTATTTCTTTATTAAATATTTATTGGCTTATTATAGTTAATATGTAATAATGTGTTTTTAATTTGTACAATAATAGGATTGTCAAATTTTTGTATAATTTGTTCACATGGTGGACATACAAAGCATCTTCGTGAGTGGTTTAAAGAAGGAAATAAGGAATGTCCGTCAGGTTGCGGATGTCAATGTATTATAAAGAATGGTGGGTTTGGATTCGATGAAGATAAAATGTAAAGAATGCTTGCTATCTATCATATAAAGACATTTATGAAATCCGGAATATTTAATATTGAAATTTTCATACTCACTTATTTATTGAACCTATATATATAAGTCATGTCAGATAACCAAAAAAATCTTTATACTTCCAAAAATTTGGAATTGTATCTTCTTTCTTTCTATGGTTCATGTATTTTTAAGTATCTAAGTTGTACAATAAATGATTATTAAGGACGCGTTTGTGAAACGTAACACAAAATTTATTCAATTTTTAATATACTAAATATGGATTTTTTATTCATTTAATATTTAATAAATAATGATTTTAAATGGTAATTCAGTTTTATAAAAAAGTCATTCTGAAATTGTTATGATTTTCTGCTTAATATCTTTCTCATTTCATCAACTAAAGTTTCACTTTATTAAATTTACTGTATTACCGATAATAATATAAACATTATCCTTTTAATCGGAAATAAAAACGAAAGGAAGATTCGTTTTCTCAAAGATTTGTCAATGCCGCAGCAATATTAATCCAATTCACACGTTTTTTTTTTTTTTTTATCATAGACGCGAAAACTTGACTTGTTACATTTCACGTGTGTATGATTATCAAAATTGTGTATGTAAATTACAAACTGAACATTCATGCACATCAAAGTATTTTCTTTCGAAAAAAACAAAAAAGTAAAAATAAAGAATAAATAATTATGTGGGCATTAGAAATTCCAACACAAATATCATTTCCGTTATACATGAGTTTATTATCAATATGGTTATTAACATTCATAGGATTATCGATGATAGCACCAACAACCAAACAACGTTATATTACATTGATGATAATATCATTAACATTTATTCTAATCCCATTGAAATATGGAAAACAATTTAATTGTATGTATCATTTACCAATTCCAGTAACAATATTTGGATGTTTTTTTAAAATGTTGATTTGGTTAAAAAAATGTAAACAGAAGATTAAGGAAACCCCACCATTCTTTTTAACATTATTCTTTTGGAGAAAGGATTATACCGGCTCAACGAAATCAAATAAAAATTCAATGACGAAAGAAAAGTTGAGATCGTATTTAATTCAAAAATCAAGAAAATTGTTCTTTAGATTTTTATTTCATGAGTCATGCCTTTATTTTTTAGAAACATTTCCACCCACGATACCTGATCGATCATATCCACTTAGAATAATTGATTACTTATTGTTAAACAAGAACACTTTCATCGCCACCCCATATACATTATTTTATTGTTATGTGTATGCCGGATTCCTTGCTCATAATATGGATTACGCATATAACAGATTTCTTGTCATAATCGCTTTAATATGGTACATTCAAAAGAATTCCTCCGACAAAAATTCTTCAACAAACTCAAAAGTGGAGTTTATTAATCAATATCTAATAACTTTATTATTTGATACACCGTCATTATTTAATCAACCTTATCTTTCCATATCACCATCAGATTTATGGGGAAGGAGGTGGCATCAAATCTTACGAGAATGTTTTTTTGAATTAGGTTATTTACCAATTCGTTCCTTGTTCCTCAAATATCAGGTATTAGGTCATGAAATGGGATTAATCGCAAGTTTTACGTGTAGTGGGATCTTTCATGAATATTTATTAACTGTATTACTCGGAAGGTCAACTGGGGAACATTTCACATTTTTTGTGTTTCATGGGGTAATGGTAATCGTTTGGGATATAATTTGGTTACCAATATCAAAATACATCAAATACTTTATTGATAAAAGATTGACCGAGTTTTTGGTTTGGAATTGTATTTTAATATTTAGTACTCCTTGGTTTATCGAACCATACATTCGTTCAAATCATTTTCATTGTATTAGTCATTTATTGTGTAATAATAGGTGAGTTCCAACTATTTGAAAGTAGAAATCCAAAGAAATTTATTCGAGGAAATTGTAAATTTATATAGATTTTTTTTTTTTTTTTAAACCAATCGAACTCATTAATCCCATGAATACACGCGTGAATATATGTATGTATGTATGTATGATTTATTCAAATTCCCAATAACATAATAAAATAAATGAAGAAAATAAAAAAGAAAGGGCTATCAAAGAAAAGAAATATGAAAGAATTAAAATAGGATTTATTCATTGAAAATTGGAAATTTTGTAATTCAAATTAAACATTAAACCTGTACCGTTTACATTTCGCCCATAAAAAAAAATATATATATATCTTTAAATTACAAGGATATGTTAAATACATTTGACAAAGAACTATATAAATCGTCACTTAACGTTAAGGTAATAAAACGATATTTGATGATAATTAAAATTCAACAATTAGCGCATTTTTTCAACTTTCAAAAGTTGGGTTAATTTCTAATATAAATTCAATATCAAAGAAGCCGACTCGGATAAATTAATTCGCGGGCGATTGAGTTTTCATATTTTATCAAGCCTTTATGTTTTTTGTTTTTTCTAATTAATATTTACCCCAACGGATTCTTTCAGCAAAGTCGGATTCGTTTATTGGATTGAATTTATTTACAAGGTTAAATCGACTTTTTTGAAATAAGTCTGGACTCTCTCTTATTGAATAATTGAAATATTATAAGAAACACTTCAGACACTTAATGGATTTACTACTTTATGTTGTGGAGGAATTCGACAATGTGTATTTCTCTACCAAAGGTAAGCAAAATGTTTCAGGGTAAATGCTTGTTTACCAGGGAGCGCGTTGCCTTACCAGGGTTGTACTTTGCTTTACCGGGTCAATAATTTGCTTTACCAAGGGGCGTGTTGCATTACCAGGGAATATACGTTCTTTACCAAGGGTCGCGTTGCATTACCGAGGCTATACGTGATTTACCGGGGAGCGCGTTGCATTACCGAGGCTATACGTGATTTACCGAGGGGCGCGTTTCATTACCGAGGATACAGTTTACTTTACCAGGGTTTATATGTTACTTACCGAAATGAAGACGATAAGTTTCTTTACCGGATACATTGCTTTACCAAATGAACCTATACCGTTTGTTTTACCGATGGAGGGAAGTGATTCGTTGCTTTATCGAATTAGTCACTTTATGCGTTTTGCTTTACTGGAGAAGTAATATGTTGCTGTACCGAGAAGTAGGGTTGGTTAGTTCTGACCTGATCCCAGGACATATGAGTCCTATTAAATGGACCTGCAGTCCGGCTCCTGAAATAATTATTAAATACGATCCTGGACTTTACCCCAAGGATCTGGTTCCTGAACTAACCTTATTTCTAATTTGATTTAACACAATTATATAATGGTAAATATTTTTACTTTGAAAATATTATGTATTATAAAATATTTTATAAAAAATAAAAAAAAAGTGTTTTTTAACACCGAAAATCTAATTTATTCCTAAACTCTAAAACAATTAAGCTTTAATACCATTCACTTAATACGCGAGTTAATGATATTAATGATATTAAAATAAGATTTTAAATGACGTATGCATACATATAACCTAAAAACATGACCTAATGATCAGCGAGCCATTAAGTCCTTGACCTAGAATTTTACCATCCTGACGAAAAGGGTGTATAATTATTCAGCTTATTTGCTAATTTAGATTATAATATATAAACTTTTTTTAAAATAAAAAGAAAATATGCCGTTATATAATAGCTTGCGGTAAAGTAATCATATTGAATATAATGTAGGACTCTGAATTTCTAAAAAAAAAAAAAAAAGCCAAGCATCCAGGGTAAAAAATCTGTCGTCACGAATGATTTATTAGAAAGGTTACTTAAAAGTTAGATGAAATTTTGATATCGCAGTGCTGTTACATATATATATATATATATATATATTTTTCATCTTTCAAGGAAAAATTCCTATTCAAAGAGAAGCCATTTGCCATTTTTGGGGCAATAGCATAGAAGTTGTGCGACATTGCGCTCCCGAAAAATGATTGACTAAAAACAAATATGACACCAAGTGAGAAATTGCCGAAGAAAATATTCCTTATATTCCTTATGGGGAATTACCGAGCAAATTTTCAATAAACATATCGTCAAACGTTTTCTTTTGCATCTTCTTTATCAAAAGAATTATAGAAATACTTACGCGATAGAAACCCCAGTTAACTTTTTACACAAATTAAAGCGTAGCCCAAATTGATTAATTTATTACAGGTATAAAGCGCAAAGAAGTAGTTTGTAAGAAACTTACTTGGACATATTAAATAAAAAGGTATGTATAAAATGATTAAAAGCATTAATTAACAGTAATTAAATTTTTTTTGTTTCTAAAATCAAACAACCAAATAGAGGTCTGATGTTACTGTAAATCGGTGAATTCAAATAAAATCAAATTCATTGTTTTCAACAAATTATTGTCACAAATTTTATTGCACACATCGTATTTCGTATTCCAGAGTCTTTTTTTTATTCCAACCTTTTTTTTTTTTTAAAAAAAAAAAAGTAATAATGGCTAATCACCCATTATCCTTTTTAAAACAAACATTACACAAAAAAGGAAAGTTGTCGAAGCTTTTCAACAAATCAATATCTATTAGTGATATGAGTTATGTACGATATATTGTTAATGTATTAATTCTTTTAGTTATACCTCATATTTTCTTATATTTATTACATCTTTTATAGGATTTATTTTATATATTTTCCTCTAGTTATAATAACAAAAATTCCCGTAATTTACTAATTCAATTATGTTTCTTTAATATCGTATCGTTTCCAAATTACTTTATTGAGATAATAATACACCAGTTATGCCATAGGGATTTACGCTTGCTTCAATATTTCATTTACTCATCAAATAAGTAATTAATTAGCAAGTAACGATGTCGTTAAGATTATTAAAACGAACGTGAAAAAAAAAATTTTTTTATTTAAAACATACTCAAATGTGCTATAAGCCATTGAGTGAACTTACTTCAAAAACATATGATTTAAACCTTTTCTTTTGACGAAACATAACGACATAATTGAAAACTATTGCCTTTTATGTCTGTTAATTTTTAGCTCCAGAAAATACAATAAATGGTCCACTTGAATTTAATTCAATCAAAAACTCGAGGATCTTAAATGGATGGTTTGAAATTTTTTTCTTTTTTTTTTTAACCACGATTATTAATAAATATTTTTTCCTATGTCAGGGTAAATTAAGAACCAAAAAAAGTTATTTTCACTTTTACTGAAAAAATTTTCCGAGTATCACATAAAAAAACGATTGCAACTTTATTCATAATTCGTGGCCAAAGTTACTTTACTCGGAATAAAATTAATGTGTTAAATTCTAGTCAAGAACAAATTAAATTTCTTTTCTTTTTTTTTCAACACTAATAACAAATGATGTATAAATTTAATTTATCAAAAAAAAAAAAAAAAAAAAAAAAAAAATTAAAGGATCGGAAATGTAAAAAACGCGACTTGTCCAGGGACGACAGGATAAGGTACAAGTGTTAAATAGATTAGGGAGTGGTGGTGGGGACATGAACCAGAGGAATTAGGTTGATGTAGAATTGAATGGGCCATGGAAAGCCTCGCCAACAAAATGAATACAAAATAAAAATTTCGGTTCACTTTTCTTATTATCTCTTGGAGATTTCTTTATGAATGTAAAAGGTGCCTTTTTATAAAGGAAAAATTATTTAAATATTGGTTGATTTCTTGGAAAATCAGGTTCCGCATTTTATTTATTAAATTTTAGTCAAAAATTTCTCGGAACCTGATTTTCTTCCCATATAATCAAATTTTTTTACCTCAAACTTCAGGTAATCTCGAGATATGCTTTCAAGTGAATGTGCTCGAACGATTGAGATAATGTACCAAATTGGGCCTATCAGATATGCCAATCATAACGGCAAGCTTTTCCCTTGCAAATGTCGTGAGAGTTAACATCGTCTTTTAACTAAAAGAATATATATTATTATTATTTATTTAGAGGTATCGAAACCTTGAAACAAAAAAAAAAAAAAAATAAATAAATCGGTAATGAACGGACTACTAAATAATGTTACTACAATGAGATCAACTAAAATTAAAATTCGTTAAACTTTTGATTAACTCGTGATTTTTATTTTCATTAAATAAAATAAAAAAAAAAAATTTTTTTAGCGGGCGCATCACTCATTTCTAAGCCTGAAAAAAAAAAAAAATTATTATTTGAGATTCTAAAAATATATTTGAGGGATATTTTTCTCAGTAAATTAACATCCTTAAAAGCTAGAAGAATATCTTTTTTTCCTAATGAGAACAATTAGTATTCAGTATTTCTTTAATTATTTATCTTCGGGCAAGATTTTTAATTCGTTGAAATGTTCCATATTCTGAAGTCCTCTATTGTGTAATGATCGACACGGAAAAAATCAAGGCTACGGACCCACCTCGGAACGGACCTCAGCCGGCCCGATTACATGAAGTGTCCAGGATTATGCTGTGTAAATACCAAATTATGCATGCGTAATAAAATAAATTATGCGTTTATAATTTTGGCCAAAATTATTAAATTAATTTATAATTTAAAAAGGATTTATTTAATATGTAAAAACTTTATTTATAACAATAATAAAACCAATCTATTAATATTTACTATAAAATTTAACATAATAATAGCGGCAAAAAAGTTTGGCTCCATCTACATAGACGTTATCTTTGTATTCGGGTTCTTTTGCACGTTGGGTTGCACTTTTCGTCATGATTGATCGAATTTATTAAAAATAGCATCTGATAAAAGATCAAATCTTAATAACCAATAAAAATTGAGATTTTTTACTGCGGATTATGTGATTATGTGATAAATTATAACTAAATTCAATATTATGCCGCAGCATAATCCTGGACACTCTAACACGAATATAGGGTAGTCAATGTAACAAATAAATATATTGGTACAACAATAATAAAAATTTAATCTTTTTTTTTCACTCTTTTTTTCTTTCTTTCGTTTTTTTTTTATCGATTATGTCACCAGCACCACAAACATCAAATATTACGATATTAATTGATAATTATGATTCATTCACTTGGAATATTTATCAATACATATCAGAACTCGGTGCACAAGTTCTAGTATTTCGTAATGATGAGACCACAGTTGAACATATAATCTCAATTAATCCAAAAAATATAATTATTTCACCGGGTCCAGGAAAGCCTTCGACAGATTCAGGAATTTCTCGTGATATTATCTCGCATTTTGCCGGAAAGATTCCGATTTTTGGTGTATGTCTTGGAGAACAATGTATTTTTGAATTTTATGGGGGGAAGATTGATTACGCAGGTGAAATCGTACATGGCAAAGTTAGTACTATAACGCATGATGGTAAGGGTTGTTATATTAATGTTCCAAAAGGTATCAAAGCTACCCGATATCATTCATTAGCTGGACTTCCAAATACGGTACCTGATGAATTGGAAACTACTAGCTGGACTGAATCTGGTGTCTTGATGGGCGTGAGACATCGTGAATTTACAATCGAAGGTGTACAATTTCACCCTGAAAGTATTCTTTCTGAACATGGAAAGGTCATTTTATCGAATTTCTTAAGTCTTCAAGGTGGTAAATGGGAAGATAACCCTGCATTCTGCATTAAACCACCTCTGGCAAATACTGCCGCCATAACAAAACCTGTGCAAACTATACTTGAAAAGATTCATAATCAACGATTAAAAGATATCGAGTTGGCAAAAGGACAACCAGGTTCTTCACTTAACGATCTTAAGAAATTATTATCTCTTCATGTGGCGCCTCCACTTATCGATTTCGTTACAAGGATTAAACAAACTTTACCAAAATATCCGTCAATTTTCGCCGAAATTAAACGAGCTTCACCGAGTAAAGGAAACATTGATTTATCGGTCAATGCAGCCGAGCAAGCACTTATCTATGCTAAAGCTGGAGCCTCGGTCATTTCAGTATTAACTGAATCTAAGTGGTTTAAGGGTACATTGAATGATATGAGGCAAGTTCGTGACGTCTTGTCAACACTCCCAAATCGCCCTGCTATCCTAAGGAAGGATTTTATTGTGGATACATATCAGATTATGGAAGCGAGACTTTATGGTGCTGATACAATCCTACTCATTGTTGCCATTTTATCGAATGAGAAACTTGAAGAATTATACAACTTTTCCAAAAATCTTGGAATGGAACCTTTGGTGGAAGTTAATAACGAAGTAGAAATGAGGAGGGCCGTGAAATTGGGAGCAAAGGTTATCGGAGTAAATAATCGTAATCTTCATACTTTTGATGTCGATATGAACACAACCTCCAGGTTGGC